GGCCTTTTTATTTGCTCAATTTACTACGTTGATTAGTTTAATATGTATGTAGTTAATGTATGTATTGATTTACGTGGTTTTAATATGAAAATTATAAATTTATATTCACGCCATCTATTGAGCTTGATTAGGAATTAACATAATTATTATATTCATACTACTTTTTGTCAGTGCAAAATTAAGAAAAAAACTTAGTATGTAGCGTACGAGTTCTTTTAGACTGTGTTCTACATCTGTGCCAAATTTCATCAAGCTTCGTTAAACCTTTCTGGAAATACCTTTTAAGAAACATCCATCTATCTAACATTCGAATATATAGCAGTTAGATTTGTAAGATTAGACTAGTTTTAAAATATTGATAATAAATAACATTAATTACATAAATAACAATTGCTTTTAAAATTGAATCAATTAATTAATATCAAAAGCGCCAATAGCTTAATGGTTAAAGGTACGGATTTCCAATCTGGTAGTCGCGAGTTCGAATCCAGCCATTCGATTATTGTCGTAAACCATATTTTGCTCAAGCATAGAGCTAAATTGGAATCGTACATGAAATATTAGTGAATTACTAATATTAAAAAATACTAATCTCATATATAAAATTCTCGTGTCACAATTTTCGTTCCCATACTCCTCCGAAACGGCTTGACCGATTCTCATGAAATTTTGTGAGCATATTGAGTAGGTCTGAGAATCGGCCAACATCTATTTTTAATTCCGTGCGGACGGAGTTGCAGGCGACTGCTAGTATGTCTGTATATTTTAGTGAAGTGTTGGTAAGCATAGGTTTTAGGCAATCGTATCTCTCTATTGATCGCATTTATGTACCGTCAATTAGAGATCCGTTCAAAAGCCCGGCAGTTTTAAGCCGATTACTGCCGCAGACTGAGAGCCTGAGAGCTATCTTTAATTTATTGTCACGCGGAAAATTTTGTGTTGCTCCGGCTTTAAACCCCTCCAACCGACTGGAGTTGAAACTGTTCGCTCTTTGATATGCGCAGATCCCTTTCGCATGAATGGAAGTGAGAATTGTATTTAGTTTGTATGGTTGTAAGTTTTCAACAATTCTAATGGATTGAATAAAGTTTATTTAATTTTAATAATTAACGGACAAACTGATTCTCTCCAGTTCTTAGAAAATACATTTACCATGGGTTTCTGAGTCTAACATTCTTGTTTAAAACTGCGGTGTCAAAGATAATGACAGGGATGATGATATGTTTATACAGATTTTGGTCTTAGTACCTCACGCTTAATGTGTCTTATGCTTATGTTTTATTTTTAATGTAAAAAAAACAATAGAACGAAACCTCTTTGTAGAGTGTTCACACTTTCCAAAAATCTATTTTGTATTAGCCAACAACACTAAGTCCAAATAAATAGTAAGACTGACCGCAAGAAACTCGTTATGTTATCGTCACAGGACAAGCTAGGCCGCTAGTCAGCACAATTCGGGATTATCCTTACAAAGATATATTGCATTGCCTTCCTACTATAGTCAGCGAATTCGTTGCGACTATAGAAAGCTAAACGACATTGCTGCGACATATAAGTATCTTACTAATATTAAAAATGTGAAAGTTTAGATGGATGGATGGTTGGATAGAGGGCTGGATGGATAGATGGATGTTAGTTTGAAGGTATCTCCTGAATGACTCAACGGATTTTAATCAAATTTGGTTCACATGTAGAATATAGTGAGGAAGAACACAAAGGCTTTTTTAAATACGATTAAGATTTTTTTTAAATACGAGTGGACGGAATCTTTGGCGACATCTACTTTTGTTATAAAAACAAATATTATTGCATTTAATTTCAATCTCCTTCAATAACATCGCCGTTTAAGAATATTTAAAAAAAAGTTGAATCGATTATTACAAATCGAACATCGTTATAAATTGTATTTGCAATAATAAAGTGCATCGTTAGCAGCAGATTCATCGTTTAAATCGTCTTTGAATCCATTTGAAAATCGTATTCAGAAGATTTGCGAAACAAAGCATCCTTCAAGAGGTTCATTTGCGAAGTGAAATGTCTTCTGCGTTCGCTATTCTGCTGTCGACTTTAAATTTATTCGATCATATTCAAGATTTATTCTAAAAATATAGAAAACGTGTATTATTTTTTAATAACCTTCTTATAAAAACAGTATTTACTTAATTACAACAAAACTTATCATTTGGTAATCAAACTAAAGTATTAGAATTAATTTTGATTCTCTATAAAAATAATTAACAAATTAGTTAAAAAAATCTATTAAATTATGCAAATTTCAAGTTAACTGGTCTATTAATACCAAGAATTCAATTAAATAACTATTTTTCTCACTAATGCATATTTTAAAGTTAAAAAAGAACAATGTCGTCGTTAATTACGTCTGTATTCAGTAAGAAAATAAGCAGTATTATTAAAGCGTAATTTTTTCTTTGTGACAGTTGAAATTTGAGGTTATAACAATAAAAAACAAAAGGTGTTGTTATTTTTTATGATTAGTCCTTTTATTTTATTGTTTGCCAAAATGGCGGGTGTCGGCATGCAGATGGCGGGTAAGCGGCGAACTTCCGTTGTTTAATACAAGCTTTAGGTATAATTGCGGTTAAATCTATTTTGTGGTCTTCCTCCTCGTTTTCGGGAATATTGTCTGTGGTCAACCAGGGTTTTATTTCCTTTCGCAGTTGGAACTTCTTAAATTATGCACCCGTTTTACTGTTTCCTTGTCAAAAGTTATCTTTGTTCAAGCTTATTGAACGGGTTAAGTTGTTAAAAGATAGCCAGTGCTATGCATGATTCTTGTATTTAGGTCATTTTTATTTTCCCTTTTTAGTTATGCACTTTATTTCTTTTTTTTATTCAATTATTTGTGCATTGTCTCGAGCCTTTTGTCCTCTACAATACACCCGCCATTGTAAATCTTACAAAGAAGGCATTGTTTGTGTTTTTCGCTTCGACGGTTTGAATCAGCAATTGAAAATAAGAAATAACATTTGTAATAAAGAAAGTAGGCATCAGGTGGTCTTTCCTTGCGTCACTTCCTTATAATAATAATTAGCATTGGAACCGATCTAAATATAGCAATCGAAAAATTTATTATATTGTGAAGAGACGATTGAAAAATTATTCAATAGAAATAAAAGTAATTTAATTATTTCAAACGTAATTACATTTTAGAGAAGTATATACATTGTGTCCCAAAATTCAACGATAAGCCGGTACTACATGGGGAAAGTACAAAAAAATCCAATTCTTTTTGTTCAAAAGTTACAGTAACATTTTTAACTTTATCTTAATGTAATTTTAAAACAAAAAGCAAGGATTTTTTTTGTATTTTTCTCGATGTAGTTGTCGACCTGGCTAAACACCAGTCTATCGTTTCGTAGAATTTTGGGACAGGCTGTATATGTTTAAAAAAAAATATATATTAATTTGATTTTCGTATAAGATATTCATCTTTCCGTGCGCATACATTTAAATGTTCGTGGAAAAGCCACCCTTTTAAGCCGCTTAGCTCCGCCGCAGACTGAAAATTATCGTTACGCCAGAAATTTTGCGTAGTCTCAGTTTAAAACCCTTTTAACGGGTGCTAGAATTTGCAACATTGCCCTTTGATTTCCTTTCCAGATAAATATTTAAGCTAAATGTAACAGTTAGTAGACAAGCTTTTATGATATTCTACATCTCTTTTAGTAAAGGAAATGTAATGTACATACTTTAGACTTCGCCTTTATTTAGTAACAAAAGGATTGAAGGCAAAAACTGTATCTACATTCTATATTTTATTTTAAAAAATATAGTAATCGTTGCTTGAAAAAGAAATCTATTAACCCTTAATTCGATAGTGTCCAGTGTGACGAACAACTAATTAAAAAAATCTACTGAACTACTTTAGAGAAAATTACGTAAGTATAACTTTACTAAATAAATCAGTTTTTTTGCTACAAAAAATATCGTCGAATTAAGGGTTAACACATTGCCAGTATTATTTTTTCATATAATAACAAACTCACCACGAAAAATGGTGGCAGTGAATGTGTTAATAAGCCCTGTACATATTTTAGAAAAAAAAAATTGTACAGTTTACATATATTATTATATGTATAAAAGTGGTTAAATTTACTCCAATAATGTAAGGATTATCATTGTTACTGGACAAAGCACTCGGCAAGTCAGCAGGGTTTGGGATTATCCCAAAAAAGATTTATTATTTGGACACCTGACATAGTCAGCAAATCGTACGTAACGAGAATTATTTTGAAATAGTTTTTATTTTAATATAACTTGAATGTAAAAATAAATTTAATTAAATTTTCTTTTTTTTTTTGTTTTTTAAAATACCATTTCAATTTTTATGTTCCGTGTATAACGATAACATGCAAATAAAAAGAAAATTGTGGTAATGATAATGTACGAATGAGTGTTTGTTAGTAGCGTGTTTATTACCTAATCAACTAAAATTAATTACATCAGGGTTGTCAAAAAATAATTAAGCATTTTATCCAAAGCGTTAATTAAAATAAAATTATATTTTTTAAACTAATAACAATGTTAATCAAAAATAAAATGTAATAACTACTAGATATTTTATTTATTACACATCATCAGCGAGGGGCTCGGAGCCTACCCTAAGTTAAGGGTGATTAGGCCATAGTCAACCACGCTGGCCTAATGCGGGTTGGTTGACTTCACACATATCCATGAATGTCTTCGCAGATATGTGCAGGTTGCATCACGATGTTTTCCTTCACTGTAAGAACGTCGGATAAATGTACATATGTAAAATCGGAAATCGAAAAACACATTGGTACATGGCGGGATTCGAACTCAGGACCTGCAGATAGCAAGTCAAGTGCTTGACCCCTGAGCCACCGGCGCTCTCTTTCTCTCTTTTCTTTTATTTATTAATATTGATAAAAGTAATAAATTTCGTTTTCGACAGCCCTACGATGTAATACTAACACATCAAACATTATTAGAAATTGTACAACCGCGTTCTCGTTTTGACAAACAGACCTGTTAAAAGTAACTATTGAGATGTATTAAAAAATTCTAATACTCAGAGGATATATTATACGTGAAATAGATCAGAATGTCGTACGGTAAGTTTGCATGTAATTTTATTCAATGCACTAACTTATTTTGTCTACTGCCCACTTTGTGAATAAATATTTTTTTAGCGCCCCCATATTTTACACATATTTAAAAACCACTATAACTTCAAATTAAATTAATTAATTATTGTGACCTATATATGTATATTAACTGAGAATTCTAAATGAAACTTTTACTATAACCCGCAACTTGAGTCCTGCAGCGCCCACAAGGGGGCGTTATCGCCCACTTTGGGAAAGACTGGTATAGATATATGCGAAGAGATGACGTGAACCTTTTTTTTAATTATATTGAATGTCAATAAGTACAAAGTAAGAGAAAGATCGAAGAAAGTATAGATGGATTGTGTGAATAAGAAAATGCGTAACAAGAGAATTCAGATATAATGAGTTCATGGAAAGTCTAATGTGCTTTCTAATATACTAAACACAACGTGTTAATATTTTTAAAGGGAATGTCAACATTATGTGAGAAAGTATTTTATTTTATCTTTCCCACATCAAAGCGGTTTATGTAAAAATAATATTATAAGTTAATAGTGACTGTTTACTAATTGACCAACCTCCTTTATCACGTCGTTTATCTCATACTTTGACTTTTAAGAGACAGGACCTGTTATGCGCGCAGCTCTAATAAAAACGTAATTGCTAATAATAGCTTGCTATACTAATCGGTATTGCTTCGTATCAGCTCAGTATACGTTTACAAAGAAATTCTATTTATATGTATGTGTTAGTCAGCAACATATTATAGTCACTTCTATAGATAAATAGTTTACTTAACTCTGCGAAAAGTGGCAGAATTTATTTAGTACAATAGCTCTGCATTATCCATTTCTCTATAGCCAAAGGTCTTGTGATGTTGATTTGAGATCGAGTCGGCATTTAAATCCATTTATGTTTTTGATTGTTAAGCCTGTTATCTGTTAAGATAAGATATTTTTGAACAAGCTTTGGTACATTTTACATCAGATATAACTATGTCACCTATTATACTTACATTTAGCCAGACATAGATTATGGTGGACTATAAAAGTAGATTATGTCTGTGAGTTTCGTATCAAAACAACTGTCCAACATTATTAGTATCTCTGTTCTTATCAATGAGAGTGAAAGGGTCGTAAGATGTAAAAAGGAACGATAGAACAAGAGAGAAGGGAACCTTTTTGTAAGAATTTTTATACACTTAAATGCTGTTTACGATATGTAACAAGTTACATCGTAAACGTTTGTGCATATATGCTGTGATTAAGTACCTGTCAACTAAATGTTATAGTCAGTCACGAGATTTAATACATTGTTTGAAAATGCACTCACCATTGTCAAACAGTAAATAAAAAATAATATTCAATCTTTGACAGATGCGAATTATTGAATTAATTTTAGACATTATTAGTTAGAATCCTGACGTGCTTTCGTTACTAAGTCCAGTGTCAGAATGAATAGTGAGGGGACACAAACGTCGACATTTTAGTAAGGCTAGTGTTGGGTCAATACACTTACACATTTTCGGATTTTCTTCCTCATAATATGGAGTTATTATAAAAAATATTCGATTGTCATGTTTTCGATTGCGGTTTCCAACGGTAAAAATAACAACAATAAAACTTACTCCTCGTATCCTAGACGGGTAGCCAGAGATCATGAAGTTCCGTTTGGCGCTACCCCGACACACCTCTCTCGATTCTTCTACATTCATACGTATATTATATATAACCTTACTTATATCATACTTCATACTAATATTATAAATGCGAATGTTTAGATGGATAGATGGATGGATGTTTGAAGGTATCTCCGTAGTGGCTCATTTTGTTCTTGAAATTTGGCACATATGCAGAACATAGTCTGAAAGAAAACATAGGCTACTTTTTAATTTTTTTCTAATACCGCGCGGACGGAGTCCTGAGTGACATATAGTCTACGTATACATGCACTTTAGTTACGAGTATTTTTACGATCTTCATGAATATCTTGTGGATTTAATATATTAAAAAAGCAATTAAGAGAACTAGGATAAAATGGTTAGAGATAGATTATTGATTTGGTCCCTTAATACAAATATTTAGTTATTTTTTTACTACCATATAGTCGTGGGTGGAAGTGTAACACCATGAGTCATATGAGCACTTAACAATCAGTGTGTTATCACAATAGTTTTATCAGCAATACTGGTCGATAAAATCAATCTGCTAACGTTATTCGGAATAACCACACGTCAGTGTGTTATCTACACCAGGCACGGAGCATCGTGTAAATAATATAAAAAAAATTACGACCTTAATGTGCTAGTGATAAACTTTTTAATTGTATAATTGTGAAAATTTATGTGAAAATGAAAGTGACTATTGATAGTATAAAAGGTGAGGGTGTTTATTCAAAATGAGTCATTGTGTTACATTAAGGTTAAATTGTTATTTGGCATTGTATTTGTGGTTGACGCCCAGAAATTGTTTGTAATTTAATTAGTGTATGACCTATTTAGCCAAAAGGTATATACACTTCGTATGATTAGTAATCTTTATATGGATTTGCGCGATCAAACGTTTAACTATATTAGGACCGCGAGTTCGAGCTAAGTTGTTTACGCGCGGGCTGCAAGCGTACTGTTAATTCAACTGTTGGCCATGTGCGTCTAACCATTGAAGTACGGCCCGCCTGATAATATTACAAATACGAATGTTTAGATGGATGGTTGTTTGTTTAAAGATATATCCGGAAAAGCTGAACAAATCTCGCTATTATAAAATTTGGCATAGACGTAGAAACCCTTGACAGGTTTTTGCATAGTTATTTTTAAAGAATGAATGTGGATAACATTTAGCTTGGTATAATAGCGCTAATCTAGTAATAATTAAGTTATGAATATGACGTTGTGTTCTCATAGCGGTCGGCGCGACTCCCTCCGCGCGGATTAAAAAAAACATAAGTAGTAGTCTATGTGTTCTTCCAGACTATGTGCTATATGTATGCCAAATTACATCGAGATCTGTTCAGCCGTTCTGGAGATACCATCAAACAAACATCCATCCATCTAAACATTCGCATTTATTAGTAAGGAGGAAGATTATTTTTAAAGGTAATGTCATAATCGCCGCGAACGAATTGCTATTTAGTGTAAAAAGGGCAGTGGCCGTAGACACCATAGATACGTGTTTATTTTTAACAGTGGTAAAGACCGCTTATCATCTTCGCACGAATTGGCCAGGTTCGCCCGGTGAAATACCACGGCCACACAGAATACAGGCGTGAAGTGGAAGCAATTCCGCGTTTCGTCTGATGAGTGTGCGTCCCGGAGGCTTAATTTAGTCCTCTTTCCCTTCCCAGCCTTAATATGAATTATAAGGAAAGGATGGGAAGTGGAAGTGGACTTTCCGGATGAGAGGATGCATGGAAAGGGTAAATATTTTCTTTCTGTGCATCCTCTCCTCCGTCGATTAAAGGTAGGCAACGCATATGCAATAGCGTATGTCTATGGGCAACGTTCACTTCGCTATCACAGCGATTTCAGGTGGCCGCTCGCTCGTTTGCCACCTTATGACATAAAAAAAACGAAAATCATATATTATGTTTAAGATGAAATATTGAAAAGCTTCTGTGTATTAATATATATCACAATCTTTTAAGAATTGTATATTAGTTTGACAATTAACGCATATTATTACTTATTGCGGGTTTCGGAGATCAAAATCTCTGTATAAATAAAATAAACTTATAGTTATACTTGGAATTCTTGACAAAACAGAGGTAAGAATCAGTTTTCAACGGAGATTTTAGTCTCAGTAGCCCACGGATAGATAGATTCATTACTTCAACGATTGTTTTATTACGCAAAAAAATGTAATTGAATTATTAACTTCACTATTGTGAACACGATACTCGAATGACATTTATTCTATGATAAGGTTAACTAAATCTTTTTTAACTGTTTAAACTCTCCTTTCTTGTTATAAAGAAAATGAAACTATTAAATTTAATCTAAAAATAAATTTTATTGCTTATTATTTCTTTCTCGTTAAATCTTGTTTAGAAAATATAAAACTTGCTTATATAGATAAAAACGGTCGCCTGCGACTCCGTCCGCGCGGAATTAACCCTTATGTTCATTTTGTATAGTATACCATACATACAACTTTATATACGATAACTATAAAATAATTTTTAACTTAGTTTTGTGCTTTTCTTCAAAAAGGAAATCTTGCCACAATAAGGATTAAAAAACTTAATTAGTAGCCTATGTGTTCTTAAAGACAATTTTCTAAATCTATGCCAAACTTATGCAGGATCCGTTCAGCCGTTCCAAGTATACGGATTTATAATATAAGTAAGAAGTAAGATTATGCAATAAAACAAAGCTAAGGTTATAAAACATGCAATAAATTAATTATTTAGCAATTAAATATTATATATAAAATTGTCGTGTCACGTTTTAATTACCATTCTCCTCCGAAACGACTCGACCGATGTTTATGAATTTTTATATACATATTCAGTAGGTCTGAGAATCGGTTACTATCTATTATTTTATCCTGCACGGATGGAGTCGCTGGCAACAGATAGTGTAATATAGAAATAACGTCTTTTTAACATTGTCAGAATTGTATCTTTGGATAATTCCTTTTTAAGGACTGGTTTTTTATCTGTTTGCTGTATCTTACCGTGGGTTTCCAGTGCCGAAATACGTGTAAAGAAATATATTGTTATCTCTTCTTTCTCAGAGATAATGAGAGGGATGACAATTTGTTTCTTCACTTGCATATCTATAGTGAAAGCCTACGGTTAATGTACACTCTTTGGTAACGGAATACGTTTAGTGGCGTTTGTTTTTGTTATCTTTTAGAACTGAAAAGTTAATTCATCAGTGCCGCCTGACCTCAATTGTCGAGTACTTTTCATTGTCGCGCTAACCTTATTGACACAAAGTAATTTTTTTATAAATGCAAAAAAGAACGTTTCTTTTGAAACATTTGGTATGACCATTTATGTCATGGTAAATATCTACGGCCAGCTATTTTATGCTCTAGATCAAAGAAGATAAAAACAAATTTTTTTTATAATGTAAAGTCAACAAACAATTTATGCAAGCTGTTTATTGTTAGTTTTATAAATTATAGGCATTCATAAAATGTAATGTAAAATTGCTAATATTTTTTTTTCAGGCGCCAGGGTATTTAATTGAGAGTACAATAAAATAATAATAAATAATAAGATATTTATGTATTTAACATTTAATAAATCCAACACTGTATACCAAGAGAAATAAAATTTATTAATTTACCTCATATTTATTTTTAACTAGTGTTTTCAATTGTTTTCAGGAAACGATCCACCTTTTCAAAGCAATGTTCGCCATAGCCGACAAGCTAAAGTAGTCCAAGAGTATGATCTAATTGACACTTCTCTCTGTAAGTCGTTGTGCTACCGTTTATCTTCCGTCGTATTCCACGCAACATCTCTAAAGTTCTTTCTATGGATCACCTCCGTCAGTTTCATAGTTTCTATATTCATAACGCAATTCATAAGAACAAATGAATACAAAACTATTAGTGTACTTGAAGAAGAAGCAATCCAGAATGTTGGCCTTGATTACAAATATACTGAGGTTTATAAAAAAAAGGAACGACTGTCGAATGAGGTTAAATACATTTTGGAATGGACGCCGCGAGACTACGAACCTCTTAGCCAACTTAGACAGGGCCAAATAGCATTCGTCAAAAACAATTGTTCAAAAATAAACTGTTATGTAACTGATAATAAAGATTTTTTTGGCGGAGACTTAACAAAGTTTGACGTTATAGCATTTAACGGTCGAAATATACTACACACAAAAAAATCCGATCTTCCAAAACACAGATCGCCTCATCAGAAATATATATATTTTAACATGGAGTCTTCTGACAATTTTCCATTGTGTAATCCAGTATTCGATGGTTTTTTCAATTTGACAGCTACATACAAATTAAATTCGGACATTCTGTTCCCTTACATACAAATAAGAGATCGTAGTGGAGAAGTTGTAGGACCTAAAATAGACATGAAGTGGATAGAGAATATGACTCTTGATGAAGACATGTCATTCTTAAGGAATAAAAGTAAAGCAGTCGCTTGGTTTGTATCAAATTGCAATAGTAGAAGTGGAAGAAAAGAATTAGGAAAGAAGATACAAAGTGCCCTTCAAAAGTACGGCTTAACATTAGATATTTATGGAAAATGTGGTACTTTTGAATGTCCTAGGAATAAGAAAAAACAATGCAACGAGATGTTAGAGAAGGATTATTTCTTTTATTTGTCATTTGAGAATTCGTTCGCGGAAGATTATGTGACTGAAAAAGTTTTGACACCTTTTCATCATAATGCTGTACCAATCGTGCTTGGTGGCGCTAATTATTCAAGGTATATCTAAGATCATACTAATATTATAAATGCGAATGTTTAGATGACTGGATGTTTGTTTGAAGGTATCACCAGAACGGCTGAACATATCTTAATGAAATTTGGCATAGATGTAGAACATAGCCTGGAAGAACACATAGGCTACTTATTAGGTTTTATTAATGTTGCGCGGACGGAGTGGTGGGCGGCAGTTAATATACGCATAATTATGAACTACACATATTTTCTCTTTTGATTTTCAACATTTTCAAAACCTCGTCAAATCAAACCGATTCCTTATGTTAAGTTAACCAAAAAAAGTTTTTTTTCTTTTAGGCTTATCCAAATTTAATTGTCACTTTGAAATATAATAGTATATATATTTTTTCAAATCGCGAGCCTTGTTTTTTGTCATCCAGAGAACCTATCTGGAACTCTTTGAATCATGCTTGAGTGTTTTGTTAATTAATTTTTATAATAATTTTGTACACAGATTTCTACCACCAGATACGTATCTGGATGCGAGAATATTGACGCCTGAAGACATAGCCAGTACAGTGGATCGGTTGATGCGTTCACCGGAAGAATATAAAAAATACTTCAAATGGAAATCTTACTACACATACCGTGACCCGTCAGACACGGACAGTGTGTGCGCAGTGTGCGAGTACCTTAATAATGAAAGTCTTATGAAACAACAGACTGTTTATAATAATTTCAGAGCATGGTGGTATCCTAATTATAAAAAGCGTTGCAACTTGTGATATTTTAATCATTATAAGATACTTTTAATTAGTAAATATATATATATATAATTATTTATGTAAGGTTTGTACACAATACAATGTTTGTAATATTATATTATAATAGAAATGCGGTGATATACTGATAAGCTTAACTCTAAAGAGTTCTCTTGCATTTAAGCATGTGTACATATATGTGTAGAAGTAATATAAATATTTACATTCTTATCTGTTCAATTTAATCTTAACCGTAATCAAAAATCAATTGTTTTAAGGATGTAAAAAAAAAGTTGAGAGAGATTTTTAAGGATCATGAATGAAAAATCTAATAATATACCGTTGGTTTCTGAGATCAAAATCCTTGTGTACAACGTATCGTTATCCCTCTCATTATCCTTAACAATATGTTTTATACAGGCATTTTGATCTCGGAAACCAACGATTACATGCATAATTCTTTTCAAATAAATTCTTTAGTTTCATAAATGAAATAGGAGAGGAATAAATAAGCGGTTCTCTTGATGTTAAGGGACTATTACTAAATCAATGAATCGATAATTATTTGATATTTTAAGTGCACTGTGTTCTTCCTGTTTGCTTATCGCTACTTCAGACTACTTTATCTATCGATAACAATTATTTAAAAAGTTTCCATTACTAAAAGCAATTTATATTGTGGCCAGAAATATCGAATTACTAGCTATCGCACGCGATTCCGTCCGCGTAGAATAAAAAAAAAGTGACTTCCAGACTATGTTCTACGTCTATGCAAAATTTCATTAAAATCCGTTGAGCCGTCACGGAGATACCATTAAACAAAAATCCATCCAACCATCCATCCATCCGTCTAAACATTCGCATTTATAATATTAGTAAGAAGTAACCAGAAATGTCAACTGTCGTGAAACTTGTATATAATTATTAATGTTATTTTTTGATATAATATTTTGTTTCTTATATTCGCTTCGAGCTTAATAACGCTTTTTTATGCGAATCTATTTTTTACTTATGAAAGTACAACTATGGAGTTATGAGTTGAGTCACCCTAGAACTACGTTACGTAAATATTGACCTTGACAGAGAAACAGTAGTCAAGCGGTCGCCGCACAATTCACCCGTCTCTGTGCTATAGTCGTGTTGTGGTCATGTTTAATTAATAACGGGTAGTTTTTTCACATAAATCAGTAAAATATATTACTATTAAATGGTTTACATTGTTTTAAATATTATTGAGACTATAGAAGACTGTAATTTGTGTTTTTCAAGACATTTTATCGGTTTTCCAATATCATGATGCGGTGTGTTTTGGGCGGATGCGTTGCGCATGTGCGGAATTACTCGACGAATTTAAAGTGCTCGAAAACCTAATGTTTCCACATTTCACGTAACGACAAACGTTTTTGTTTGGTTTATACAGCGACGATAATTTAACAACAGGTGTGTATGTTATAAAGTTTGCAATTCCATTCTTAAAAATGTTATACATAATTGTGCTGCTGACTGTACTAAAAAGGGTATAATTTTAAAAATCCAAATAAAAAAAACATGTTTTATACAGATTACAAAACTGTGTGTAATATCCATTGTTTTAATTAACTTCTACAGTTATTACTAATAAGATATAGTACAGTAATATAAGGAAAAAGTTACGCCAATGCTACTTCATGCTTCCCCGCACCCCTACCTGCCTATTTAGTTTCTGGTTTCATATCCCTAAGAGCGGATAAACACACACAAAAAGACATTTTTTATTGCTTGATTTCATATTATTTAATTATATTATGAAAATAAACAAATTTAGATCAGCTTTAACTAGTAGTAATAGTACTTAAATAGTGCGTACTATTTGATATGTACATATATCTACACATTGCCTATCTATTACTTTTACTTATATATGCTAAACTAAAAAACCCATTCAGTAATTTGCCCATGGTTACCTATTTTTCCTACATTTGGTTTTTTTCTGGGTAAAATCTTATCTTTACTTAGACCTTTTCTTACTTTAATGTTATTTGTTTCTACAGTTTTTCTTTACTTTTTACAGATACCACTGACCCGGTGAAATCAGATTTTGTGACCAATGTCAGTAAAAATCAATAAGTTTATAAAATGTTTAGACATGACGCGGCAGAAATGTCTTTATTTATTCCACTGCGATTTCGTTTCTCATCGATTTTGATCCAGACAACAACCATAAAAGTATTTCTATTGATAATTTCTATCAGTTTCATAATATCCATATGTGTTGTACAACTTACTAGTAGAGATTACGTATCTATTAGTGAAAGTTCTATACAAGAAGCACTGGATAATGTTGCAAAAGATTTAAGATACGTTGATGTATTTAGAAAAAAGAATCGTCTCCCGAAAAATCTCAAATTCATTCTACTATGGACACCAAAAGAGTTTGCCCCGTTCTACAATCTGGGAGAAGGGCAACGTGCATTCATTAAAAACAACTGTTCCATGTCCAACTGCTACGTTACAGATGATAAATATTTCTTCGGTGATGACGTGACTAAATTCGATGCCATAGCTTTCAACGGTCGAAATATTAGAACTATGTTAAAATATCATATACCAAAAAAACGATCACCTCATCAGAAATATATTTATTTTAACACAGAGTCGTCTGATTATTATCCAGTTTGCAATTCTATGTTTGATGGATTTTTCAATTGGACAGCGACATATAAATTGAATTCAGATATTTTGTTTACGTATATACAGATAAGGAATCGCAATGGTGAAATTGTTGGACCAAAGAAGAATATGGAATGGGTGAAAGATATGTCATTTAAAAATGATTTTTCTATTGTGCAAAATAAAAGTAAAGCAGTTGCCTGGCTTGTGTCGAATTGTAACAGTAGAAATAAAAGAGAGGATGTTGTGACGCAGCTACAGACGTATTTACGACATTATGGATTAACTGTAGATATATATGGAGATTGTGGTTCTTATAAATGCCCAAGTGAAGCTACGAACAGTTGTGCTACTATGTTGGGACAGAAATATTATTTTTATATGTCTTTAGAGAATTCTTTCGCAGAAGATTATGTGACTGAGAAACTTTTAACAGCTCTAAATTATAACATGATACCTATCGTTTACGGCGGTGCAAATTATTCAAGGTACGTTAAATTATTGAAATAAATAAAACTTATTTTAAGCGTATATTGTAATCTATTTTCATCTGTCCATAGGTTTCTACCTCCGAACGCCTATCTGGATATTTTGAAGATGAGTCCTAAGGAATTGGCCGATACCATAGCGCAATTAATGATTTCACCAGATCAGTATGTTAGATATTTCTCATGGAAATCTCAGTATACTTACGTGGACCCATCAAGATCGGACAACGTGTGCGCAGTATGTGCCGCTCTTAATAATAAAACCATGATGGAGCAGAGAATGGTTTACAATAACTTTAGGACCTGGTGGAACCCAGCTTTTAGTGATCGTTGTTAATGTATTTTTATAGATTGTTACCGCGTGTTATATGTGTTTAGATAAGATAGTTTTTGTGATGTATCTACGAATGTTACTATAATCCAAAGATAGAAATAATTACGTGTTATGTTTTATAAATATAACTGTTGTTAATTGCTACGTAAGAGTATTTGTCGTTCTTTATTAAGTATTCAAAAAGTTTATATATTGTGTGTTACCTCTGCATAACTTTAAATTTTATTTTCCACTGCCGTCCAGAATCTATAGAGTGGTGCTAAAATAAATTAATATGTAGAGGAATTGACTGTTTTTATTTTTAATGTAAAGATCTGATTATTAAAAAAATGTGATCGTAACTTCAGAATATTTATTCGATGTATGTTCTAATTAAGGTACATTCAGATTTTTTATAGTATAAGGTGGCAAATGAGTGAGCCGCCATCTAAATTCGCCGAAATGGTGAAGCGACGCTGCCCATAGACATCCACAAATGCGTTGATTACCTTTATTCAATGAACGAGGAGACGAACAGAAAGAGAATTCTAACAGAACAGAGAGAGATTCCTATTTGTCCCCTAAATTATAACAGCTCACTAACGCCCCCCGTCAACGTTAAAAAATGTCACAAGATCCTCTTTGTACTGTACTCGTTATGTCACTTTCTTTTAATTTCATTTTCTATGTCTAAGTAGGTTTTATATATATACTGAAAAAAACAAACCGCGATAGCAGCGCCTCTCTCACCGGTTCAGATACCTTGTTTGACCTTTGACTATAATCTCAACTGTCAAATTAAATTTCAAATATCAAAATATTTATTTATAACAAAATACAGATATTGAATATAATTGTGACTTGATAATTATAGCTTGTTGCAATATCCACAAGAGTTAAAATACGATATTAAACAATTTTGTTGTAAAATGCAAAATCGAAAGAGATGGAAACAACAATATGAGGATTTTTGTAAATAACATAACGCGAATATTAACTCTATCTTGTAAGTGTATGTAGCAAAAAAGCTAGAAAAGATAGCTTGGGATTCACTTTTTTTTAGATGAATAGCCAAAGTTTATACAACTTTGGTTCACACTCGTAGTTCTTTTTGATCCCTATATTTTTTCACGAACAGTCACTTCTATATAGATATTTCGTTGTAAAACATTTTTAGCATTATAATTTGATGTTTTATATTTATTTTCAGGTACCAGTAAATTATATTAAACAGTTTAACACATGTCTTTATCTAAGACAATTCAAAAAACCTCGATTTTAAACAAAAAGACTACTCTCAAAGTCTTTCTATATACTATCTCGGCTTGTCTTATCGTTTTCATATGTCTAATACAATTATCAAGAAATAGTTACATATTAATTACAGAAAACTTTGTAAAGGAGGCTTTTGATGATGTTGCAGATTTGAAATATATCGATGTTTATAATAAAAGAGATTTTTTGTCTAAAGATCTAAAATTCATTTTAATGTGGAGGTACTGTAAAAATCACGATCCATTCATTCAACTGGGAGAGGGTCAACGAGCCTTTATCAAAAACAACTGTTCCGCAGTCAACTGTTACGTCACTTATGATAAGTACTTTTTGGGTGGTGATGTAACAAAATTCGACGCTATAGCATTCAATGGTGTTTTTATAAATGCATTATCAAAATATAAGTTTCCGAAAGTACGATCACCTCATCAGAAATACATTTATTTTAACCTTGAGTCTGCTGACAATTATCCAGTTTGTAGCAGTGTATTTGATGGGTTTTTCAACTGGACAGCTACGTATAAATTGAATTCAGATATTTTGTTCGCATATGTACAGATAAGGAATCGCAGTGGAGCAATTGTTGGACCAAAGAAGAATATGGAATGGGTAAAAAATATGTCACTTCAAAATGATTCTTTTATAGTACACAATAAGAGTAAAGCAGTTGCCTGGCTTGTGTCTAATTGTAACGGCAGAAGTGGAAGGGACGAAATTGTCAGGCATCTACAAAATTATTTACAACGATATAAACTAACCGTAGATATATACGGATATTGTGGTCCCTACAAATGTCCTAGAGAACTCATGAATAGCTGTCTCAATATGTTAGGGAGGAAATATTACTTTTATTTGTCTTTAGAGAATTCATTCGCAGAAGATTATGTGACTGAAAAACTGCTATCAGCTCTAAATCATAATATGATACCTATTGTGTACGGTGGAGCAGATTATTCAAGGTTACCATTTGTTTTAAATTATTAGTAATCTGTTCTATCAAGTTGGATTATTACGAGTGTTTAGAATCGACGCAGAATTTCTTATATAGAAAAATACTGTTTTTTTTTAATTCAAACTCAAAATTAACATCACGCTGGATATGATTAACGTAACTCATGTGTTTTCCCCCTTTTGCGCAGGTTTTTACCTCCGAACACGTACTTGGATGCTTTGCAAATGAGACGACAAGAATTGGGTGACACCATAGCGCAGTTGATGACTTCACCACAGCAGTATAACCAGTATTTCTGGTGGAAATCTCATTACACATACGAACACCCGCGGACTATGGACACAGTGTGTGCAGTGTGTGCCGCGCTTAATAATAAAACTATGATGGAGGCAAAAACGGTTTACGATGATTTTAGGATCTGGTGGAATCCCAGTTATAGGATACGGTGTAAATCTCCGTAGATCTGCTATTGTATTTGTGTTCCGTTTAGTCTGTCGTGGCAATTATTATACATTATAACTTTTTTGAGTAACTTTGCAAAGAGACTCAGGAGAATTGTGATATTGTTATTTTACGTATGTTACGACAATGGGGTCTGATCGTTTGATAATATTTTTGTAATGTTACTGGAGCTGGATGAGAGTGGGCGAGGATCGTGTTCAGTGGCGTGCCATGGGAAAGACCTATGTCCAGCAGTGGACTAGTATAGGATGATGATGATGAATGTTACTATGTCACCTGTGTTACGTAACGTGAAAATTGATAATTGAAATAAAAACTTTTTAAATATAATTAATTTATTCTGTCTTAATCTGATTCACTCGAGCATTGATAACAATTGATTCTTACAAAGTATACTGATCGGCTGCCCTAAGCGAGCGCTATATGAAGGGTTCCTTGTGTTGTGGAAGAACCTGATGAGTTGCAACATTCTCTTATATCAATCCCAATTTAACAGTGTTAGAGCCCGCTTTAACATCTTCGAAAGAATTGGCCCGGCTCGCCCGGTGAAATACCACGACCACACAGAAGAACAGGCGTCAAGTGGAAGCAATTCCGCGTTTCGTCTGATGAGTGTGCGTCCATGAGGCCTTATTTAGTCCTCTTTTCCTTCTCACCCTTTTTCTTTTAAGGAAAGGATGGGAAGTGGAAGTGTACTTTCCGGATGAAAGGATGCATGGAAAGGGGAAATATTTTCTTTCTGTGCATCCTCTCCTCCGTCGATTAAAGGTAGGCAACGTTTATGCAATTGCGTAAGTCTATGGGTAACGGTCACTTCGCTATTTCAGCGATTTCAGGTGGCCGCTCGCTCGTTTTCCTCCTAATGATATTAAAAAACCCCAAAAGTTTGCTTTGCCCTACTATTATAAAGATATTGAGGGGATGTTATGACGTAGTTCGGTACAATGTAGCGCCAGTAAAGTCTTTTTTAAACAGGAAACATAAAAAAATGAAAACATCGATTTGTGCGATTAATGCATTCGATTCACAAATTTGAAGTCTATATCGATTCATTCAATGTAATCGATGTTTTTAAGCAGGTCACTTCACTATGATGCTAAAACTGATAGACGTCAAACACTTGTAATATCGGGCGATTATTTCTTATATGAAGTTAGTCCGTGCAATAAAAAAGTGGTTAAAGATAATCCTTGGGTTTCACTTTTTAGATGAAACATAGAAGTTACTACAACATAGGTACAGACTCATACTTTTTTTGTTCTATTCGTCAATTCTGCATGAACTGTCACTTACAAAGATATTTCATAGTAAAGTATTTACATAATATTTATTTTCAGGTACTAACAGAATATAATCATTAAGCACAACACATGTATTTATTTAAGCTATCACGATTTTGTAGGACATCGATTATAAACAAAACGACCGCCTTCAACATCTTTCTATTTATAATATCCCTTTGTTTCATCATCTTTATATGCCTTATTCAACTAATAAGGAGAGACTACGCGTCCGTCAGTGAACGTACCAGACAAGAGGCACTGGACAATGTTGCGAAATATCTAAAACGTATTTATGAATTGAGAAAAAAGTATCTGCTCAGAAAAGATCTTAAATTTATTTTATTATGGACAGCAAAAGATATAGCACCGTTCTATTATTTCGGTGAAGGACAACATGTATTCATTAAAAATAAATGTTCGATGATGAACTGCTTTGTTACTGATGATAAGAACTTCTTCGGTGGTGATTTAAAAAAATTCGATGCCATAGCATTTAATGGTAGAAATATCAGCACTCTATCGAAATATAAGCTTCCGAAAGTACGATCACCACATCAGAAATACATTTATTTCAACGTTGAGTCGTCTGATAATTATCCAGTTTGCAGCAGTATGTTTGAAGGGTTTTTCAACTGGACAGCGACGTATAAATTCAATTCTGATATATTGTTTACTTATGTACAGATAAGAAATCGCAGTAATGAAATTGTTGGACCAAAGAAGAACATGGAATGGGTGAAAGATATGTCATTTAGAAATGATTTTTCTATAGTGCAAAATAAGACTAGAGCAGTTGTTTGGCTTGTGTCCAATTGTTACAGCAGAAGTGGAAGGGAGGAAATTGTTTGGCACCTCCAAAAGTATTTGAGACAATATAAATTAAAATTAGATATATATGGATTTTGTGGTCCCTACAAATGTCCTAGAGATTTTATGGATACCTGTCTCGACATGTTAGGGAAAAATTATTACTTTTATTTGGCTTTAGAGAATTCATTCGCAGAAGATTATGTGACTGAAAAAATTCTATCAGCTCTAAATCATAATATGGTACCTATTGTGTACGGCGGAGCAGATTATTCAAGGTTAACATTTATTCTAAACTAGCTGTCACCCGCGACTCCGTCCGCGGGGATATATAAAAAAACTTAAGTAGTGTAGCCTGTGTGTTCTTTCAGACAATGTTCTATATGTACGCCAAATTTAATCGAGATCCATTCAGCCGTTCTAGAGATATCTTTAAACACCCATCCATCCATCTACATCACATCCATCTAAACATTCAGCAGCCAATAAAAAGCAGCTCTTCAAGACATAAATTCGAAAAAAAAAAGAATAAATAGTATCCTATGTCCGTCTTCTGGCTCTAAGCTACCTCCACATCAATTTTCCACCATATAGGTAAAGCCATTCTTGAGTTATAAATAGTGTAACTAACACGACTTTCTTTTAATTTTTATTTATTATAACATATTGAATATGACGAGCTATCTGTCAGAGCCGAATTAATAGGATGTAGACAAATTTATTAATTCCGAGATCAAAATCCATGTATAATCATCATCTATATACATATACTATACGTATCCACTAAGGGTCTTGGAGCCCCTTAGGGGTGATTAAGTCATAGTCAACCACGCTGGCCAAGTGAGAATTGGTTGACTTCACACATATCTTTGTATTTCTTTCTAGGTATGTTTAGGTTGCATCACGGTGTTTGCCTTCACCGTGAAAACGTGATGATGATACATTATATGAAGGGATTTTGTTCTGAGCTATAGAAAAGTTTTATCTTATAAAAAAATCGTGATAAATCAACCTTTAAATGAGATGAATAACATTTTTATTTTTTCGCAGGTTTTTACCTCCAAATACTTACTTGGATGCTCTGCAAATGAGGCCTAAAGAGTTAGCTGCAACCATAGCGCAATTGATGACTTCACCAGAGCAGTATAGTCAGTATTTTTGGTGGAAATCTCAGTACACATACGCATACCCACAGACTATGGACAACGTGTGTGCAGTGTGTGCCGCGCTTAATAATAAAACTATGATGCAGAAAAGAACAGTTTACGATGATTTTAGGATCTGGTGGAATCCTAGTTATAGAATACGATGTAAATATCCGTAAATTTGGTGTTATATTTGTCGTGCCTATGTTATATCTTGATTTTTTGCAAAGAGAATGAGTGAGATGCTTATATTTTTCTCATACTGGGATTACAACAACGGAGACTGAACGTAATGTAACGATGTCACTTGTATTTTTTTTAATTTAAGGATATAATAACTTAGTGAACGTGAATAAAGTAATTTTAAATATTTAACTGTTTGATACCAATAGCCTTTAAGAACTTGGTAGGTAAATAAAAATAATTTTATGTTAAACATAACATGATTGAAATAAACTTTTATTAAAAACTTACTAGTACTGCTAAATTTTTAGGTAATTTTATTACGTTATATCCAAATCCATAGTGGTTTAGTTCAATACAAAATTATTGATTTGCCTACACCAGTAACGCAAATCCAAGTTTATGTTTCATGGGAAGAAATTAAACAAACAATGCGTTGTCAACAATTATATTTAGTCAAAGTAAAATTGTATTTTTTTGTAAACAAGCAATAACCCTCGATTCCATTCGCTATGAATTAAAAAAAAACATAAGTAGCCTATGTTTTCAAACTATATTCTATGTGTATGCTAAATTTCATCGAGATCTGTTCAGTCGTTCTGGAGACACCTTCAAACAAACATTTTGTCTACTGCCCACTTTGAGAAAAAATATTTTTTTAGCGCCCCCATATTTACCAACCACTATAACTTCAAATTCAATTAATTAATTATTGTGACCTATATATGTATATTAACGGAGAATTCTAAACGAAACTTACTATAACCCGCAACTTGAGACCTGCAGCGCCCACAAGGGCGTTTTCGTCCACTTTGGGAAAGACTGATCTAAACATTTCCGCATTTATAATATTAGTAAGAAGTAAGATTGCAGTGCAGTTAACACATATTAGCGATGGCTTGATCTTATTGTCAATCAGCGATGTACTATACATTTCTAAGATATATTAATTACTCATTGTTTTGCAATCTATAGCGTGTAGTATTCGATCGAGTGAACAATAGTCATTGTTACCTCTGGAAGTTCAACACACTTATAACTTGTGTCACCATTGTTTCGACGGTCAAACGGCACTGGTATTTTTAAACCGTTATATTTAACTTTGTTTATTATTATCAAATCTGATAATTTAAATTATACATTTTATGTTGATTGATTTTTTTGATTTTCTAAACGATGTTTGATTGAAACGTAAAGTCATCAGATTATTTAATTTACATTTGGATATAAAGTAAAGGAATGAGATGCAGACGAAGTGAATTTTATTTAAGTGTATTATTAAAAGAGCGTCGGTGGCTCAGGGGTCAAGCACTCGACTTGCAATCTGCAGGTCCTCGGCTCGAATCCCGCCATGTACCAATGTGTTTTTCGATTTCCGATTTACATATGTACATTTATCCGATGTTCTGAAGGTGAAGGAAAACATCGTGATGCAACCTGTACACATATCTGAAAAGAAATTCAAAGATATGTGTGAAGTCAACCAACCCGCACCTGGCCAGCGTGGTTGACTATGGCCTAATCACCCTTATCTTAGGGTAGGCTCCGAGCCCCTCGGTGGGGACGTATAGTGAGCTGATGATGATGTATTATTAAAAACGCCCTAAGTAAAGATTCACCGCAAGTGTCTTAGAAACCCACGGTCAATTCAATGCAACCGTGAATTTTCAGAAACAATGATTATCGCTATCTCTGTTTTTAACCAATAGACTGACAAGGATGACAATATTCTTATGTCATAAATGTTACGTAAAATCTACTAGACTACGTTCTAAAAGTACATTAATAAAAACAAAACTAGCATAGTAACCGTATCAAAGTAAATGAGTTATCGGAAACAGGAAACAAGTTTGCTGAGAGAACTGGAGTAAGTAAAGACAACATTAAAACTACAACAAAAGCCACTCCGCTCGTTGGGACGTTAACGAAAAAAGTTGGTTAAAGTTAATTAGAAAAGTTTGCTGGGATCCCCTTCGTGGTGGCGTTATATAATATACGTGAACTGAATTACATGATTCGACTGTTCCATTGATATTGTACAAAGATATTGTCATCTCTCTCATTCTCTTTGCGAAAAATAGAGACTAATAGTTGGAACGTAAGTGTTACACGGCTGTAAACAAGTAAACATCACGATTATGATGAGTTTTGAGGATCTTTGAATAGAAAAAGAAACCGTCTACCGGTACATTAGTATGGATAGGGCAAAAGGATTCATTGATCATATTGCGTCAAAATGAGAATGGAGTGTTGTTCAGTGGGTCTAGCATGAATATTTGTGACGTCATCGTCAATAGTGCCAAAACTAGCTGTCGCTCGCAGATCCGTCCACTATGTTTAAAAACTTAGTAGCCTACGTGTTCTTCTAGACTATGTTCTACATCTGGGCCAAATTGTATCATGTTCTGGAGATGTCTTTTAACAAACATCTATCCATACAGTCAAATTTTAGTATTCATCATATTAGTAAGATTAGTATGAGATTTTTGGTATACTTTACGCCCCATAGGAATATGGGGGAGGGGGGTGTCTGTAAGATTTTTAATACAAATTTTGCCGATGACGATACTACGGCGATTGTCACAAACATTCATGCCAGGCTGCTATTCAGCTAAACACTAATGCTTCTTGAGACACTAATGTTTTTTTTTGGCGGAAAAATAATTTTATATTTATCGATGTCTTAGCAGCGATGAAGCACTTACTTGTGTTATGTCAGTAGCATTTTTCGATAAAAGTCTCGTAGTGGGGGCATCAGAGGTGGGGTATCGCTCCGCAATGTCATTACTGGCCCCGGAGCGCATAAGCGACATTCAATGATGTCAGAATAATGGTAAACAGAATTTATAAATATTTAACAGCAGTAAAAATTTATTCTTGAAAGCTTAAAAAAGACCAAATTTCATAGTGCAAAAAAAATCACTTAAAAATGTTTTTTTTTGTGCTAAACTTGTGTCTGATATCATCAGTATATCCTACCAAAGTTTGATTAAAATCATACACAGACATAAGGTAGAAGATTAACCTTGGGTTTTTGAGACCTAATCAAAATACATATTGTTATCTCTGTTTTCTTAAAGATAATGACAGGGATGACGATATGTTTTATACAGAGATTTTGGTCTCAGACACCAACGGTAAGAAGCGACGAAGACATTATTAGTAGAAAGTTATAAGAATACCTAGACGTACTAGAGTATCTCAAATATATTAAACAAAAGAATCAATCGTTTCGTAACTCCGCGTACACCGCGATAGTCAATACAAAGAGCCCTCTAAGTAGATTTGTGGGCCCACAAACGACGCGCCCGGCCCGCTGTGTCGCTCTCATTCAATTACCTCCAGTCGAGCTTTAACCGCACCACTCATGTACACTCGCGTACAATTAACAAAGAAAAAGAACCATACAGCTATTTTATCACACTTTTAAAAGCGAATACCAAGAAATCCGCACTGGTTCGCAGTTGTTGACCTAGTCATCCACATAAGGGTAGGCTCGCGTGCCCCACAGCGTTTATAGGCTTAGCTTAACTAGTCGAAATATGCAGCTAAATATTGAGTCAGTTTAATTATAAATCAATACCAGAATAGTACCTCTTTGGTAGCATTTAAACTTGTTAGTTACAAAGGAGGTCGGATATATCATACTTCATTGATCGTTTTGATCCTGAAGCCGCCTAAAATTAGTCTATGAAAGTGTTACCTCACTAATCTAATAGCATTAGAAAATTAATATCAACATTGGTTTTATTGATACTAACTATTGATTTGTTAGGTAATTAAATTATTCAAACTTTCGTGAGACATTATATTATACTAAACTGATATATAAACACGGCTAAACATACGACGTATATACGTGAGTGTTTAGCCGTGTTTATATACTTGTTAGGTAATGTTTACGAATTTACATAACAATTTGTGTATAATGCAAAAAATATTCTCAAGAAGATAAAATGCATGTGGCTGTACTACAATACAGTGAGGTAGAAATCTGAGATACTTGCATGCATCGTGTTCTTATCGCTATGATAGATGGCGCTTTATATCGTCATAGTATCAGAGTATAGGAGATGATGTTCTACACATGAAAGTAATAAAGTAGACTAAAATTATACTGATGTTTAGAATTTAAATACAACGTTTAATATTCAAACGACAGTATTTTTTCAATAATATCAGTATTGAAAGTTTTATTAAATAAAATGCAGTGCAAAATACAAAAGCAATAAGGCTTAATGTTAAAACTTGTATTTATTTTCAACACGGCACATATCTTTGGCCATTGGCGATTCCAATCAGCCGTGAAGATTTTTACGGCCGTACTAATTGAGCGAGATGCCAACACCGGAAGCTATAAAAGTTATTAATTGGTTTCCCGACAACCCTGGTGGCGGAAGTTGTAAATACATGCCGCTACTATTTCCGGTCAATCGACACGCATCGCTCCAACCTTTTTGGAGGAAATGGAGAGATTGATGTTCCGTTGTGTACGCTGAAAGCGGTGTATTACATGAAATATACCACTGTATTGATTTTGAACGTTACTTCTAGAAGTTAAATAATACAAAAGGTATATGATATGACACAAAAACGAGTTTTCATAGTTTTGAAAAATCCTACTATTTTTTAATAATAGCTGTCGCCCGCGACTCCATCCACGCAGAATTAAAAAAATAATAATTAGTAGCTTACGAGGTCTTTGTGTCTATGTTCTACGTCTATGTCAAATTTCACGGAGATCCATGCAGCCGTTCCGGAGATACCTTCAAACGAACATCCATCCAAACATTCGCATTGTAAGCAATAGTAGTAAGATTTATTTACTCCTCCACTTTTATTTTATTCGCAATACAAAAAAGATATTGAATATTTTATAAAAATAACAAGCTTATCAACAAGACCGAACCACACAAGAAAAAATCAATCACAAGTAATTACAGTAAATACCCTTCATTCATTGAGAGTATGTCGTTGTAAAAAGCAAACTCACTAATTCGTTAAAAGCTTTTC